TATTGAACTCACTTAAAATTTATAATCGAATAGGTTCGAGAAATTGTTAAGAAGGCCGGAAACGTAGTTAGCACCCAAAAATATTCGAAAACTGGTTTCCAAGCCCAAAGCTACCAAATTTATTTATTTATATCAAATGGCAGGCGTTTTGATGGTCAACATTAGCCCTTCAGTTGACATCGGGCTTCACAGGGGGGGGGGAGGGGAGGAACATCAAACTCATAAAAAGTCGAGGGGTGGGGAAGAGAAGAGCGAGTCAGCTGACTACTTATAGACTTTTTTCCCGTATGAGTATACATTGCCCAGGGTGAACCATGTGGAGGTAAGTCTATCGCAAAATCCAGCTACCAAATTAAAGTTTAGTAAAAAGCAGAACTATTTGACATTGTGATGGACCCTCAACAATTAACTTGAGTCAAAACTGTACACGAAATTTAAACATAGGAGTAATTGAAATTGCAAAAACTTTAAAGGATGAGAAAGGCGAATCAAATAGTTCCTCAAAAGTGATGTGTTTCTTTCGATCTAGAAGAATACAAAATGAACTGTATGAAATTTTATTGAAAATGTTGATATTATTGGCTAAGGCTGAAAGGGATCAAATAAAGAGCAAAATGTGCCCATTTGTCACCCTAAATTGATGTCCTTCGTTCAAAGCGTAAATTTACAGAGAAATAACTTTACTCATTACTGCGTATTAAAAAAAACAAAAGGAGAAACAAAATTTTGCGACGATGTGCAACCATTATTTGATTTACAGATGAAAGTTCAATTCAAATAAAACGTAAAAAGGAAAAAATTATAGATTAAAAGTAACTAAGATGAAAAAAGTGGAAATATATATATATATATATATATATATATATAATCAATACATTATATTATAAACTAAGATATAAATAAAATTGAATAAAATTTCAATCAACTAACTTTCCACGAGCAATGTAGCCACACGTCGACCCCAATGTCGTTCCTAATCGTTTCCAAAACGGAGGCAGTCTAAATAATATGGCAAACGGGACTTCATCAACACGAAATACAACCAAACAATGCATAAACAAAGACTAAGAAGACAACTGACATTGTAGAGGGTTTCATTGGAGGGTACGATATGGTTTCTTGCAAATATTCTGAAGAAAAGATAACAAATACGAAGTTAGGCAAATAAAACTGGTTACTTAGATGACAAAGAAGTCATAACATTAGTTCTAATACTTTTAAAACTACTTTAAAGTGGTTACTTAGATGACAGCAAAATTTCCAGGGCTCACAAACTTACCGAGTGAAATTGTACATCCTCTTCAGTAAAAGACTGGTTGCAAAGTAGTCATGTTGGTTTTTGATAATCTTACTATTTTTTATGGCACATACTCCGTGTTTTGACCACTCATGATGCCTAGAAAATTTAAAGCAAAAAATAACACAAAATATCAAGATAAGATGTATAAAACAATTGTAAAGTTTATCAGAATGTAGATACAAAAATATACAAAAGTCCACATAATGAGTTGGATTTCATCAGATTTTACTAGGTATTATGGTTATAATTAGATGTCAACAAGGCGCATCTCATAGTATGGTAGATGCAAAAAATTTTGCAGCCACTAAAAGAAGTCGCATGCTAAATAATCTCAAGGAAGCTCAAATTAACTAACGATTAGTAAATCAAAGTCTAGCTTCACTAATAAAATGCATAAATACCAAAATTTCCAGGGATTATCGTAATGCTTTTCATCAGCCCATTCCTTTTTAAGCTCCTCATAGATATCCTAGAATAGATTATCAATATATTACATTGAAAGGACGACATCGAATGAGGAGGACAACTAATGTAAAATACTTTAATAGTGCTGTTATCGAATTTCGGACCATCCGAACACTGATTCATCGGCTGATTTGGAAAAATTTGTGCCCTTAAAGCAAGAAGAATTTATTAAAAATACTCTGCAGAAATTATTGGATTACTTATAGATATAAAGTCACCAAAGTCCATGTATGTTAAATCCATTAGAAGGCCGAGGAAAAGCACACTGAGATAAAAAAACGCACAATAAGTAATAAAGTTAATAACAGTGGTAATTTAAAATAAAATTGCGAACGAGCCTTCATAAATTGACAATATCCAGGAGGCCAGGATTGTGAGAGGACTAAATAATCCCAAGTAGTATTTGCACTGCCCCAAAACGAAGAAAGTGGTAGAGCCTTATATCGAAGAAATATATCGATAGCTATGATTGAGGCCTGATTAGAAAGCCATATTTGATTCGACGAAAGCAAAATCAATAAACAAAGGAATCTAAATGGTTCAAGAGTGCGATTTTGATTTCATTTTCGTCATATATATCATAATAATAAGGCAATTAGTATACAAACAAAAAATCTGATAAAAGACTAAGAAAACCACTTTTTCAAGGCCATAATTCATATAACGCTGAGAAACATCACATGACTTAATGGGTAAAACAAGTACACTTATTTCCTGGATCCGTTAAACGATGAAATTCAAGTATAAATCCTTAGTATAATTAAATAAAAGTCTACTCAATGATTCATAAATGAGTATAGATGCTTTTATTTACTTTTCGTAATATTTCTTATCACAAAGAACTTTTCAAGTTTAAATTAATTCGAAGTTACAAAATAATATTGAAATTTGCTCTATAAGCGGTGTTAATTATTTTCTCCCAAGTATTAAATTGTTTATTACTTCTCAAAATGGCAGTATTTCTTTCACTAAATATTTTGTGTCAATATTATTCGTTTGAATAATTTATGATTTCAAGTCTATTTAATTTAATTAAATGAAATCTCAGATCTTGTGAAATTTGCTAAGCCACTCTCAAATAATCATCTGACTTGAATCGTTTTTTATAAATTAGACCTGTTTTAGAATTACAAACTTAGTGATTTAAATTTGAATTATCATTACGAGAAATAGTTTGTAATGGTATAAGATAATATCTGGGACTGATTACACTATACATGTTAGTCGAATTATATACATGAAATACTTTTGAGGGTCGTTAAGTATGATGCGAAATTCCCAATGTCATTTTCACGTATATCAATGATATATAGACATTTTTAACACTTAAAATCCCAACTTAAAATTTGCAGATTCAATTTCAATTTCGTGTTTACCTTCAGTTTGCTCGAAGTGTTGCATGCTGATTGGATATATTCAGGCATTTGGGAATTATGTAAAATTTCTTTGAGACAAAGACATTGAAAACGCAAAATTTGGCAAGATCGACAACTTGTTCCTAAATTTTATGAATATCTTTCTACTTTTATTTTAAAGCTCTTCAATGGCGCTCTCGAATAATTTAAATTTTACCTCCAATTTGTTTATATCCATGAGATTTGGTATAAAAGTGGCCTTTAATCATGTATTTCCACTGTAGCGGATTGCTACCTTAGTAGTATTTTCAATATTGCTAATTATTGTCAGTTAATATGGTTACCACTAACTTCATAGTGTCAATTTAGTAAAATTAATGTTTTATAAGCCACGAACCTCACCAAACGTCTTTAATATGACGATCAATGTCATTTCTCCTATCATCAAGAATTTTGGTGTTAATTTGGAAAGCAAACGAATGGAAATGTTCATCTAAATGCATATCTTGGCTACAAATAAAAGAAACCAAAGGTTTTTTCTAAGCAGCTTTCCAAGTTAAATTAGATAAGGAAATGATGAACTGTTCCATGAACAACTTGCCTTCTACCATCTCCCATTCGGAATATGTCCTGCATGGTCATTGGTAAACATAGTTTCTGTGATCTCTTCTTAGATAAAGTTACACATTTATCATTAAAATTCCTGGCATGCTTTTTAAAGAATCAGTAACTTAGCTTTTACAATTCGCAAAATAAATTGGTGCTGATCCACATTCACTCTACCCTTTTCATAACTAAACTCTTGAATATTGTCTGCTAACTTTATTGAGATACTCTAAATGTAGGCTAATTTTAATTAAAGCGTGTTTTCCGAGTTTTCAAACCAAAAGAAAATGTTTTCAACTATTCTCTCTACCAGACCATTGAGAGTTTCAAAAAATTTCCAAACAAAAGATTGATAATAATTAAATAATTTTTCGTATCAGATAACGCAAGGTAAATATTAGTAAGTTAATGACTAGTAAATCCTTATTGGAATGCTTGATTCTTGATATCAGGCTGGTGTGGAAAATGGCAGAATGGGACCTCTTGATAACCAAGTTCCATAGAAGGTGACAACCAATTCATCATGGGATTTCGAAATACCTGCATTGTTGTTAGGTCAGTTAATTCTGGCGCTTGTTGACCTAGAGTGGAGCAAAATGCAAAATGAGTAAAGTTGAAAAAAAATTATCACGCAATAGATCTTAAGGAATAACTAAATTTTCCGTCACGTTAATCAAACCGTGGAACAATCAAATAAAATGGCCGTTTTATTTAATCACTTAGCTTTTTTATAGCATATCTAACACGCTCGAATTTAACATTTTTACTTATGCGCGTTCATCAACTTTCGAAATAAATTGAATTTACTTGCCTCGAAGATTTTTTGGGCTCAGTTAGACTTAGCTTGGCATTACGAAATATATTTCTTACTCAGCCTTGAAAATCACCTTCAGTCACATATTCAAGCACCGATGCCTACAGAAACTGGTCAACTCCAAAAATCAGGCTTGATTTGAAGCATTTAGTCAAATGAAATGAAAGTTGTGCAGTAATGCACAACTATCACTGATTTACTTGTACTAAGGTGAAGAAAGTGCAACTTTAGAATATCTTAAACGCCTTCAAAGTGGAGACATTTTAGATCTTTCAGACAGGGTAGGTAACTGCCACATTTAAAGTTAAGGTTTGAAATATCCTGCCCATTTTCAAAACGCCCTTTAACTTTAATTAAACAAGATAAAATTCTAAAAGTTTAAAATCTTAGAGTCATTTACATATTTGACGTTGTAAAAAGGTAATGAATTAGTATAAGTCGAATCAGCTAAGATGCGCAGTTAAAAATTAGTAAAATAGACAGGCTTCATCAGAAGTTGGGCATTCATTCGCACAAAAAATATTTGATTAGATTGATTCAATGCAAATAAAGGAACTTCAAGCGAAGACAAATCAAAGAAATCAAAATTACCATGTGGTAGAGAAGGGCTTGACATTTCACCTTCACTCTCCGCACCACTATCGACACTACTGCTGTTTGTTAGAAAGGAGATATCATGGATTTGCGAGTGGACATACATCACTGAGGTTTTGGCCTTTGAAGTCACAGATGATAGTTCGACTTCGTTGTCTTCATCAAGCTCATCTTCATCAATATCATCGCTTTGGAGCACTTTTGCATCTCCATCATTCTGCCAGTTATTTTGACGAGAGGCGTCCCTCCGTAGGCGCTTTTCTTTGGCTCTATTAATTTTTTTCCCCAAAAAAATATTCTGATTAAAGAGAGGAATTGACAAATTATTTACAAGAGCATTAATCTATTTGAGGATCTAGACCGAGTCAAATTACCACCCGTTGATGGGGTTGGGAGATCAATTACGCCAGTGGAAAGGTAGGGAAAGTTCATTGTCAAGTAGCTGAAAACCTTGAAATTAATAAAGTTATCGCTCGAGAAAAAATGAAAGCAGTGGTTAGCATGTTTTTACCAGCTAGGACGGAAAAAATCCTACGAAAAACTCGAATTACAACAAAATTGGCATGATATGTCAATGTTGTATGCTTCGATTTCATTTATATTTGGTCGCGAAGGTGCGCAATAGACTTATCTCCACGTGGTGCACCCTGGGCAACGTAAATTCATACGGCAAAAAAGTCTGTTAACTGGCAGTTGACTTCTCACGTCAAACTATCATCACCTCACTCTATGCCATATTCGACTATTTCCACAGTACTCACCTCACCTTTGTTCTACCTTTGTGTTTGTCTCTTACATCTTTGAAACACTCTTCTGTNCTGCGACTGCGTCCACGCATTATTAATGTCAGTAGTGGTGCCTGCTTGACTATGGGCTGTGGCGCACTGTTGGCGTTGAGTGAAATTTGGGGTGTGCGATAGACTTACCTCCTCGNGATAACCATCAAGACGCCTGCCATTTGATATGAATAAATAAATATTTGGTCGCATGGTGCCTCAAGTACGCGCTTAAGCTTCAGTTAGTCTTAACCCAAAGTTTATTTTCTTCTCCGAAATAGAATGAAATAAATTTTTTGCTTATCCATTTTTATTAGATTTCTTTTCTACACCTTATGTACGCTAAAACATCGTATCATATCCCTGTCTCCGTAACCTCATATTGACCCTAATATTTAACCCATCTTCTGGGAATAGATTAATTCACCAAGGAACGTCCACCCGAGATAACTGCAAAATTATTAGAATGCAAAATTAGGAGTAAAATTTTATCTCCTCCAACTGTGAAATGAACACATATCTCTGGTTTTGTAAAGATATCTCTTCCTTCTTTCAATTTGAAATGCAATTAATTCAGTAAAACTATTATTTTACCCGGTGTGAGCGATAGACTTACCTCCGCGTGGTGCATCCTAGGCAACGTATATTCACAGGGCATAAAAGTCTATTAACTGGCAAAAATGTCTATCAATCGGTTGTTGCCTTCTGACTTCAAACTACCATCACCCCACTGTATGTTATATTCGACTACTTTCACAGTACTCACCTCACCTTTCTTCTACTTTGTGTCGATCTCATACATCTTTGAATCACTCTTCTGTCCCCCCCATCTCGACTTTTTCACTTTGATGTTCCTGTGAAGCCTGAAGTCAACTAAAGGGCTATTGATAACTATCAAAACGCCCTATTATTTAACCCTATGAATTAGTTACTTACGGCCAAAACAATGTATAGCAAGGATCAGTGGATCAAGATTTTCGAGGATTCGAGGAGAGGATGGTAATTTTTGTCTTTTCGACGACAAATACTACAAAGGTTATTCATGACCTCATTTCAGTAATCAAATTTTCTTCCATATCTTTCAACGAAAGAAATACAAGGAAGCAAACAAAAAAGAAGAAAAAAGGGAAGAAAGAAGGAGGTAGAGACAATTTTATTTTAATTAGATGAGCCTAATAAAATATTCATGGCAGGTGAAGTGAAATGTGGGGGACACTGACTGAGTTTTGGGTTAGCAGTGCTATTGGCTTGCTCAGAGCTCGGACAGGAGGTTAATTAAATCTACCTATGGCACACTAGGGGATTGTACACACGAATGCTCTCCTATTTTTTTCTCCTTGGAGAAAATTGAATAGAAAAAAAACTGTTAAATTTTAAGATAGTGAGGCGAATGGCACTTACCACTCCAAGACAGTCAAAATAAGCATCAATCTTAAAATTACTATTTATTAAACTTAAATATACCATAAGGTGGTCAGATTTACAATGAATCTGAAAAAATGGACTTATTATATTTGTGATTTTAAAAAGCTTTTCATTGAGCCATTTTAATTGAAATACAAACCAATTCGGCTGCGTGGCATTTCATTCAAACAGTCCTACTCGAAAGTCATTCTTTCCCATTAATACATTTGTCCGTGTCTTTTCCGGCACTTTTAGCCATTGCGGTAAATGCAATAGATCTTTTTTGCTATTCCAGCTTCAAGAGAATTAGAAGTAGTCAAGGTGGCTTGTCTGACCGCTTCAGTAGTTCAGCAAGTAAAAAATTTGACAATACAATATACAGTTAGGTGCATTAAAACAATACAAAATAAACTGTTACGAGTTTGAAACTACAATGCATTCAGAATTGAAATAACGTAAGATTGTTGATGCACACTGAAGGAGTAATCTACCTCAATATGACCACTCATGGTTCATCCTTTGTCGTGGCATTGCGCCGTCTTCTACCTTCAATTGCTCAAAGTTATGGAAACATATTGGATTTACCCTGGGTAATTCTGAAAGCAATTTTTATCCTTTAATAACATGCTCAATCATTAAATACTATTATATAACATTTTAGCCTTGTTTATATTTTTGGATTAATTTTGAGTAAAAAAGAGTAAGTCAAATTATCAGTTTTGTCTTCGAGAAACCCCCTAATCGTCTCCTGTGCTAGAATAATGGGATTAATCGGTATGGGTTACGATATTTATCAGTCATCTATTACAGCTCTCCACACCCCTCCCCCCCCCCTCCCCCACGTTAATGATGGCACATCTCGTGAATATTTCATGATCAATTGCCTAGCTTTTGGCCAGTATATTTCGCTTTTGCTTAGGGCTGATTTCAATACGATGCTACTATGCATGTCCTCAGCACTTAGATAATTAAATATTCTCAAAGACTCGACTCCCATATTAAGGCATGAATGTGGAAAGCGAGTATGAAGAGAAATCAAAACTTAGTGGATGGTTTGATTTGTTCATAGGTGTTTGCAGTGTACCTTAGGAAAGTATGCGCAAAGCAGAACTCAATTAAAGGAAAATCCATCTCAGCCCACTTTTATTTTAGTGGTAATCTTTGGTGATCTAAGCATTTACCTATAATTTACCCATTCATACTTGATGTTAGAGGTATTTAATTATTTAGCTGACCCAAGTCAAAGTGTCCTCCTTGGTTGACTTAATTTTAACCTGTCCAAACACAACCACCACACAACGCTGAGCGCTAAACGTGTTAGACTTTTCATTACCTTGCTTCAAGTGTAGTGAGAATTGGCTTAGTTTAAATATTTATCCATCTTTATTGTACCTATGTAATAGTTGACCTATGCCACATGGGCTTCATTGATATCCTGATGGTCAATTTTATGCTACATTGATCAAAACTGATGGTGGGTCAATTGGATGGTCAGATTTAGGAATAAAATAAGTAAATAAAAGGCAAATGGAGATGGCATGACTTATTGTGGCTTTGAACAGAGTGAACATATATCTGACTTTAAATTCATAAAGAAAACAAATATATGCATAATTCAAGCAAAAATGAGCCTCTAGACCTTCCATTCCGATGAAATCTACTTCTTGGTTGGGTAGTTTTTTAATCAAACTAGGAGCCTTTCATACTTGGCTCCTAATTGACAAACAGAAGTAAAGAAACTGACAAGAGTGATGTTGTTGAGCTTTAACCAACCTTCGATTTTGGAACCACACTTGAACCACACGCATATCGAGGCCTGTTTCAGTACTGAGCTGTTCTCGAACATGTCTTGACGGTTTGGCACCCTCAGCGTAAGCCTTCTTGAGAGCTTCCAGTTGTTTGGCGTTGATTGTTGTCCTCGGACGCTTGTTTACGTTTTCCATTTCAACTTCTAAGGCAAACGAATAACTAGCGTGTGCTTATGAGACTTAATGTTGTATTAGTGCACATTTATTTACAAATTCTTACCCTGAGCTTTGATCATAGTAAAATCGGCTTTGCACATCAGTCGTCGATCAGCTAGTAGATAAAATTCATCACCGGTATTTAGGGATCTAGCACAGACATGACAGACGAAGCATTCCAGATGGTAGACATTGTTGTGGGCTTTGCGAACCATCTCATTTGGTGGAATACCCTCTTCACAACTAGCACATTTTGTTCCAAATCGTCTACAAGGGAGCGTTTTTTTAAAAAATCGAATAACAAGATATTTTATAAAAAATGAGCTAATATTAGCATCTGATAATCAAGTGACCAACTTGCTTGCGGGTGATTAAAGCTATCTATGAAGATGTGCCAACATTTTAATCTTCAAGGGGGGTGTTAGGTTGTAGTCATTTGTAGACGTCTGGGTCAAGTAAACAGATGGTAAAGGGTCGTTACAATAGTACTCCTTCAGATAGGTTGGAAGATCGTCAATAATAACTCAATGCCTCCTTTTCTGTATTGGAGTCCAAATCGATTTAAGAAAGTGCGATTGAACTTTTATTTTGATACGATTCAATTTCAAGAAAAACATCGTGTTTTGCGCACTCTTCTCATTTTGCATTTAGCAACGATAGCAATTTTCTCATGTGAAAATTTAACTTAAAGGCTCAATGCTTTATTAAGGTTATTATATTCACGTCCACAAACCCCTGAAAATTGATTTACTTAACTTAATTTATTACTGACCCTCTGCTATTCAAGATCTAGAAGACAATGATTCATTTCGTCTAATCCTAAATATTAAATTAAGATATTTACTTAGAAGAAAGTAACAATCTTATTGAGGCCGATTACCTTTGATCTGTTAACGAATTGCGCTAATTATTACAAAGCCGAAGAAATAAAACATTGATTACGAAGAAGTCAAAATGGTATAAGGATTTAAAGAAGTTCTGCTTTAAATTTCTTTGAATGTCTTTGGAGATCATCTGATTCTGGAATTGGCCATTTATACACCTCCAATTTTAGAAGCGACCTGTTAAGATAAGACTAATCCTTATACCTCATAAATAATCCACAAAAATACCATCATGAAAAACGAAAATCTACTCAAAGGTATGAACGAGATTCAAGAAGGTATATCCCCCCCCCCTCCTCAAACCCCCAGCTACAGGTTCTCAACTACTCCTTAATGGCCAGATTCCCAAAGACGCCTCACTCAACATTTAACATTTCTTATCCCCAAAGTTCATTAGTCCTATTTGTACATAGAGCCAGGGAGAGAGGGAGAGTGAGAGAGGGCTGAATACGTGCCCATAAGTGGCTCGAATAAGTAAGTCAGTGTTAAACGAGAGAAGTGGGGCATTGATAGTTAAGAGGTGAATATGCTATGAGGTCCCCATAAGCCCTCCCCCTTAGGCCCCTCCCCCTCTAGTGTTTCGCCTTCCCCAAGCGTCTACATCTGTCATTAGAGGAGGCTGGGCACGATGTCCTCTCACCACGCCAGTTGCTAAGGTGTCTACACCCCGTCTCTTTATGGACTCTCGCCATTATCGTCGTGACCGAGTGACGTGGCAAATTAGCGTAGTGACTCGTAAGAGGCCCCTTCTACTGTATGTGCTCAAATCTGGTTTCACTCTCTCACCCTTTCGAGGCGAGGAAAAAAAAGTTTTAAACACAGCGGAGTATTTACAATTGGAGAAAGAGGGGAGGTACTTAGAGTAACAGAAGGGTGTTTTGAGTAGTCTTGGTATAGGCGCATAGATATTAAGTTATGCTAGTCAGCGCATTCAACTTAACTCTAGGATCTGAGTATTTTCTTTCGGTCTAGGGACTTGTGGAGAAGGTTTTAAGATACTACACGAGTATTTCATGATATATGCTAAAGCCATGATTATAACATTGGTAGTAATTAACGAAGATCTTTCCCCAATGAAGTCTGAATGACTGAAGTATATTTCACGACTCCAGAGCAGGTACCAGCACCTATTGTTAATTGTATGTAAATTAGGTCAGGTGCTTAGGCCGTCTTAATAACTCTCTTCAGTGTAGCGCTCAATAAATGTTCACTTAACTGGAAGCAGTAATCTGATCATCTAATAAATAAGGTCAATGGCCAACCCTGTGATTTGAACACTGGGATGCTAAGGCAGGTATCAGCAAATTAAAGCTATTTCACCAAAAAAGGATATTTGAGGGAATTCAAATTTTAAATAAGGCATAACTCGCTCTTCCAAACACGTGAGTGAAATCGAAAATAACGGAGGTGTTTGTCTATTCAATCGGAAATTAGATACCATTTTTATGGGTTTGAAACAGTGCGGCTCTTTTACCTAAAAAGGAAATGAATGTGGTCGACCAAGACCACGGGAGGAGGAGGGGGGGGGGGGAAGGAGGGTTAGAAAAATAAGAAATGCTGCGAAAGTGATTTGAAGCCCTGTGTGTGTGTGTGGGGGGGGGGAGTGGGAACTAGAATAAAATAAATTGGAATAATCCAATTAGAAGCACTAACACTTATACCTTTCCTCATTCCTATTAAATTCCGTTTGCAAAGACAGATCTCTTTTTTCCCAATAATTCTAAAGGAGGATATTTTGCAGAGGAATAAATTTTAAAAAAAAACAACTTAATTGCCTACTCTTAACTATAAGATGATACGAATAATTCGGGATGGCCTAATTACCTCAAGTGGTCTAAATGCTCCGAATATGGCCCTCTATTCATTCAAAAGCCAAGTACACAATCGAGTGAATGCAAATTACAAGTTAAGCAAGAAATTTTTAAATCCTTTGAATTTATTCGGTTCTTTATCCCTGCCGACCAGCGAGTTTAGATTTCTACACAGTAGTAAGAGCTTAAACATGTTAATTTGTCACCTTAAATGATAATGACAACCTGAAATGCCTTCATCAGTCTAGTGCATGCTATACCATTATGGTAATGACTAATAATAAAATATAGTTTAATCTTTGCATCTTTATACTTTAATTCTCTATTATCTGCTTCTCTCTTTCTGGCCGATTAATATTAAGTGTAAAAACGATGAGGTTATTATAGACGTGTTGGTATCTTGTGGAGGCCGTGATATGGGATTGGTCAAAATGACTAATATAAGCATTAATTGTGGTTAAAAATTGAGAGGTCCCAGCCACAGCAACTAAACACTTTTTGTGGTCCCACATGCCATTTTCCCCTTCCATCCACCCTCATAACCCCCCCCCCTCCCGGCTTACAGCCCCAAAACATGAACCTTTAATTTAGCTATGCTGACAGTAAATTAAGTGGTCACCCCGAGACCAGACTAAGCGTCAAAACTAATAGTCTCTAATTCCTGACTAGTGGCAATGTGTTGTGGCTGGATATGCACTCACTTGAAAAAGTCCTCTCGACAGTAAACTTCCCCTTCGCGATAGAAACACTTATTCACCAGGGAGACGCCGCAGTCTGGACAGTAGAGACACTTCGCGTGCCAATATTGATCCAACACGAGAAGGAGCGTCTTCTCGTGTACTTCTTCCGCGCATCGACTACAAACTGGGGCTTGAAAGTAAAAAATGGAAAGTAAAAGAATAGTAAAAAGAATTTCTAGCTATTCCAATTCAAATGCACTTATCAAAATGAACTGAAACTCGGAGATCTTTATTAAAACAGAGAATTTTGAAGCTACCTTACCTTCTGCAAATGAATAACTTCCTTTTTTCGACTAGTACATCTATTAGGTAACTCTAGATTAAATTCGCAAGTGTCGGTTGGTAAGAAATAACTCACCGATCTAAAACTCTCATTGGACAAAATTGCGAGCCAAGGTACTAAATGAAGGCGTGGATGCCGAAAATCGATAGAGATAAGAGCAATCAGGTTGATTGCTGTTCTCAATTCAACCGCTACGTTAACTAAAACTTAATTTACTAAATGGCTTCCCTCACTTGTCGCTTTCCCTCTCCATCCCCGCCTCTCTATTCTTGAGCCACTTAGTTCGATTAATTCAAGCTTCCCAACAGGTTTTCTTACTGTGAAGGTGAGATATAGAGGACCATAATGAGGGGATGGGGGGGGGGAGGGTCTGGGTATTTCGGTGGACAGGCAAGGGGTTAGGGG